CCCGCCACCCTCTTCCTTCCCTCCCTTGCTCCCGTCCTCCGCCCTTCAGATTCGTAAAAAATGGTTCGTATAACTTACATGCAGGTAAATGCCCCGGTCTTAGGTGTGCGGCGTGATGAGTCTTAACAAACCTTGCCCGTTCCCTGTCAATCTCTGCCCCCCTCTCTCTTCCTGTCTCCCCATCCCGACCCCACAGACTTGCTTTGTGTCACTATAGCCTGCATTTTCCTTTCCAGAATTTCGTGTGTGTGTGTGTGTGTGTGTGTGTGTGTGTGTGTGTGTGTGATCATTCGGCATGTGCTCCTTGTGTCTGGCTTCTTTCGTGTGCATAATGCTTTTGAGATTGCGCCATGTTGTTGGTTTCCTTTTGTTGCTGAGTCATATTCTACTGAATGAACAAATCATAATTTTCTCATCCATTCGATTGTGGATGAGCATTGGGCTTTTTCCAATTAGTAGTTACTATGAATAAAGTGGTGACTATGACCATTCATGACCAAGTCTTTTATAGACACATGACAGCATATTCTTTTGTGTAAATATCTAGAAATAGGATTGTTGGACCACAAGGTAAATGCAGGTTTATGCATTTATTTCTAACAGAAAATTAGCCTCAAAGGCAAAATGGGAGCCGGGTGCAGTGACTGACACCTGTAATCCCGGCATTTTGGGAGGTCAAAGTGGGAGGATTGCTTGGGCCCAGGAGTTTGAGACCAGACTGGGCAACATAGCGAGACTTCATCTCCACAAAAAAATGAAAAATTTGCCAGGTATTGTGGTGTGTGCTTAGAGTCCCAGCTACTTAGGCAGCTGAAGCAGAAGGATTGCCTGAGCCCAGGAGGTTAAGGCTGCAGTGAGCCATGATCACATCACTGCACTGCAGCCTGGCCAACAGAGTGAGACCCCGACTCAAAAAAATAAAAAAAAAGTGGGGGCTACAGATATTCCATTCACAACGAAGCTTTTATGTGCCAGCAACACTGAGCTGCTCCTGAACTTCTGAAACGGTTCTATCTGGAATGCTCTACCCTCCCTCCCCCAACTCCAGTGTCTCATGCATTCATTGATAAAACAAAAAAACTGGGGCCAGCATACAGGAGCGAGCATCAGTGGAGAAGGGGAAGGGGGCAGATATAAGTAGTGTTGGAAGAGGCCCAGGCTGGCAGAAAAGAAGTGACAGTCCAGGTGCGTCAGGAAAGCTCGCTTGGAGGGGGTATGGCTTGTATTGAGTTCCTGGATTGGACTGAGGTGAATGGGCGGCATGGGGGTTGGGGAGCGTGCCCCATGCCACCGATGCGGGGGCTGCCATCAGAGAGCTTGAAACTTTGGGGAAGCCAAGTGGTTCTGCTGACTCAAAGCCGGGGGTAGAAAAGACGGTGGTAGGAGAGGAGCACACAGGAATAGGGTCCTGTCGGTGGAATTTCGGTATTTGCTGTCACTGGGCACCAGATGGCAGGAGAAGCCACTGGTTTGAAGGCATCGGGGCCCTTGACTCAACCCAAGGTCCTTCCAAGAAAGCTGTGCACCAGGTTTCTTTGAGCACCAGGCCCTGTCTCAGCTCCAGTGCTGGGAACTCCCCGGCGACCACCGTTCAGAGGCTGAGACATCCTTTTCCCTTGAAACTTGACTACCCATGACTCCCAGCAGCGGCTGGAATCAGGGTGACACCAGCTACCATACAATGTACCAGGCTCTACTGTAAGTGCTTTATGCGGAATTATCTCATTTAACTCCCACAACAACAACAACAAAATCCTATGCTATTCACTCTTTTTATTTTTATTTTTTGAATTGGAATCTCACTCTGTCGCCCAGACTGGAGTGCAGTGGCCGCTCCCGGCCACCACAGCCTCGACCTGCTGGGCTCTGGCGATCCTTCCGCCTCAGCCTTCCTAGTAGCCGGAACTACAGGCACACACCTGGCTAATTTTTGATTTATGGTAGAGACGAGATCTTGCCAAGTTGCCCAGTTGGTTCTTGAACCCGTGGACTCAGGCAACCCACTGGCCTCGGTCTCCCAAAGTGCTGGGATGACAGGCTGAGCCACTGAGCCTGGCTTATTTACTCTTTTTAAATGTTAATTTCATTTTATTTTTTTTTTAATTTCATTTTATTATGGAAATGTGGGGTACAAGTGAGGATCAACTACATAAGTAGGCTGCATGCAGGTGGAGTGTGGGCTCTGGCTGGCCCTTCCTCCTTCAGTAACGACCCAAGTACCCTTGGAATTGTCGGTGCCTCTCGCCCTCCTCCCCCCTCCCTCCCCTAGCAGTGCCCAGTGACTGCCAATCCCTCCCTTGTGCTGATGCGACTGGCGTTCAGGGCCCACTTATGAGCGAGAACATGTGGTGTCCACTCTCTCCCACTCAGGGAGGAAAGCTGAGGCTTGGGGAAATGAGGCCACCACTTGTCAATGGCTGCACATTGAGAAACTGGTGAAGCTAGAATTCCAGCCCTGAAAGGCTGACTCTAGGCTGCAGAATGGAGGAGATCTCTCTTGCGACTGACTTAATGTTTATGCTTCTACCCCACAATCTACAGAAAATTATTTCTTTTTTATAGCACAACCTGAAACTCCTCACTTTTTTTGACCTGATTCCTAAAATATTAGACTGAATCTCTCCAACAACTACTTGTAGGAGCCGAGTTAATAATGCTAAAATGAGTTTAAAAGTTCTCGAGTAATATAGGCTTGTTAGTTTGTGTATACAAAATGAAGGGGTTCTTAGTATTTCTCAAAAATGATTCCTGGCTGGACGTGGTGGCTCACGCCTGTAATCCTAGCACTTTGGGAGGCTGAGGCTAGACTCCTACTCAGAAAAAAAAAAAAAAAAAAAAAGATATATTTGAAAGTTTGGTCGAATGATTATTTTATATACTTATTGAATTTAAAAAAAAAGCTTTTTTTGGTCTCACTCTGTTATCCAGGCTGGAGTTCAGTGGCACAATCTTGGCTCACTGTAGCCTTGACCTCCTTGACTCAAAGGATCCTCCCACCTCAGCCTCCCAAGTAGCAGAGGCCACAGGCATGCACCACCATGAATGGCTAATGTTGTTATTTTTGCTGTAGTGACAGGGTCTTGCTATGTTGTCCAGGCTGGTCTCAAATGCCTGACTTCAAGTGATCCTTTCTCTTCAGCCTCCCAAAGCACTGGGATTACAGGTGTGAGCCACTGTGCCCAGCAATAAATGTTTTATGATTATAAATATTCTAGGCCGGGCTCAGTGGCTCAGTCTGCAATCCCAGCACTTTGGGATGTCGAGGTGAGTGGATTGCCTGAACCTGCGGGTTCCAGACCAGCCCAGGCAACTTGGCGAGACACTGTCTCTACCATAAATCAAAAAACTAACTGGGCATGGTAGTGCGTGCTTGTTCTGGCTACTTGGAAGTTTGAGGTGGAAGGCTCACCAGAGCCCAGCAAGTTGACGCTGGGGTGGCCGTGAGTATGCCACTGCACTCCAGTCTGGGCGACAGAGTGAGACTCCAACTCAACAACAACAAAAAAATCTTCCTGTTGAGTGGTCTCTCACTTATTGGTTTGCATAGTCACATCGTGAGCCCTTGAGAATCTCACTTCAAAAAAGCAAGAGTTCAGGAGTCTCACTTGAGTTTGCCTAATGTTTAGCTGAACAAAGAATTTAACCGGTTGCAACGGCTCATACTTGTAATGCCAGCACTTTGGGAGGCCAAGGCGGGAGGATCCCTTGAGGCCAGGAGTTCATAGACCAGCCTGGTCAATATAGCAAGGCCCCTGTCTCTACAAAAAAATAAAAATTTGCCAGGTGTGGTAGTGCGTGCCTGTAGTCCTAACTACCCAGGAGGCTGAGGCAAGAGAATCTCTTGTCTGGGAATTTGAGGTTACAGTTAGCCATGATTATGCCATTTCACTCCAGCCTGGGCAACAGAGTGAGACACTATAGAGAAAAAAAGGAATTATAGAATTTAAAGGACTCCTATGGGTCATTTTGTTGATAGAGTTTTTTTAGAGGAATCTTTTGGGGTTTCCTTTTGGCCTCAACCTGCTGCACTCAGGTG